GTTTGTGCAGTGTTATATCAAGAGAAGATTGATACAGATTCCATGAGTAGAAATAGGACGTTCACTCTTCCTGAATAGCATATATGGTTTTGGGATAATTTTACGAAGAAACGACAAAAACTTACTAGGATATTTCGTCAAACAAGAAAAAGATTAAAAAAAGGTAATAGACAGATATGAATATTCCTGATTAAATGGATAGATTTCGTAACCCTTAATTATTTTCTACTGGATGTTACATAAAGAACTAGCACCATTTGAAACCACGAAATCCATTTTACTAATCTTTTCACAGTACCCTTTTTTTTGTTCTTTTAAAAACTACGTCAATTATCGCTTTATATAAGTCTTCAATTTTATTAAAATTTGATGGAATCTGATACACCGTCATGTCCACATCCAGACACGATATTTATTTGGTTACTGTAAGCAGGTAATAAATTTATTATTCTTTTTAGGAAAACCGACAAAACAAACAGTAAATGAGATAGGCTTTAGTATAAGTATCGGAGTATTTACCAGTTAGAGAAAATTAAACACGTCAATTAATTAGTTTCAAGGAATCTTAACACCAGTTTTTTTATCGTCAAAAATATCACCAATATTATTAACAACAGTATCTCGAGTTCTTAATTGACCCGGTGGACCATGTAACCAGTTCCATTCAATAAATTTAATTAAGCTTGACGATTCCATTTGAACATGTGAAACATAATTTCGTTTAATTTGATATCCGATAGCAGTAAATGGTATTCTAGGACCATAAGGTTTATTATCAATTTTACTTATTGGTGGTGGAGATACATGATCATAATAGCCACCACTTTCATCTCGAATCAAAAATATAACAGTATTTTCTTTGTATGTATTCGATGCCATTATTGCATTAATGACGTTTTGTGAGATTAGTTCACCGGCTGTTAAAGAACTTAGACGGGGATGTTCACTATGTATACCTAATCCTCTAACGTAACTAACTGCTGGAAGTGTTCCAGCCGTAATGTCAGAATACAGATTAGTATAATCTTTGAAATTAGGGGAATGAAGTTGTGAAGAATTTATTAAACTTGGAAAAAATGTAAATGGATCATCACCTGCATCGTAATAATACGGGGAGCATTGTTTCTTTTTTGGATTTTTATCGTATCCTTCAGCATAATATGTCCAACGGACATCACAGTAATTCAATAAATCTGCAATCGTTGTACTATAGTAGCTTTTGAAATTCTTGGTATAACAACGTGCACCATTTAGATTAGAATTTTGTGGAACAGCATTATTATCCCAAAATAAGAATTTGCCTGTCGCCAAATACATATAGTTTTCAGTACTGGCACCAACAGCAGATTGAAAGAAGTTATCAGCTATCGCATATGATCTTGCCCATGAGTAATATCCTGCTGCACTTATGTTATCAGCAATAGCGAAACTGAATGGACTTGAGCAAGAACATCCAGTAATGAATCGATCCATTAAACCGTTATTCATTTTACACAGTTCGCAAGAAGCACTATGACCAGGATCGTACGCAAGATTTTGTTTATCGGTCAAAGTTATCGGAAACGATCCACTTACGCTATTTGGTGCTGCTTCACAACAAGATGGACCGTTATTACAAGTGGGTTTTGAACCTGTCGGAGCCTTACAGTATCTTCCATATATACTATCGAAGGAATGATTTTCAGAAATAATAAGTATAATGTGTTTGACTTTTGATGTTGTTGAAGCAGATGGTTTGCATATGTTTGGATTGATTACCTTCACAGTGACAGAGTTTGGACAGGTATATCCGTTGTTTTTGCAATAATAAACAGTATATGTTCCATGTAGTGAAGGAACCCGTATAGATACTTGTCCGGAATTTGTTGGATGTTGATTCTTTCGAACTGTTCCGCCATATGTATAAGCCCAAGAACCACGTACATAATTGTGATCGGTCATTGGAGATGAATCTATATTCCAAAACATAATCCGATCGTCTATATCCGAAGTTTCAGCACCACACCATGAAACAACAACTATTCCATTATTCACTTGACTTTTTGGATCAACTAATAATTGAAGAGCTTCACATGATGATGATATGAAAAATGATTTTGATATAGCTTTAATTGTCTGTCCTTTATCATGGAAATAATATGCACGATATAATCCCGTTGCAGAAGGACCTGCTATATTTTGCTGTCCAGAGGTCTTACGGCTCGTAACGTAGCTCCATGCATCTGGACCAGAAGGACATGAGCTTCCCACAGTTGTTCCACATCTACCAAACTTGTAAATACCTATCCAATCAGCATTTTGATCTGACACTCCTCCATTGACAATCCAGTTAACATTAACTGATCGACCAGTTTTGATGCAACAAGAATTAACATTGATAGCATAGCTTTGTCCACTGACGCTTGCTGCTAAAATGCTCAATACTAAAATATTTACTTTACTGTTTATTATGCTTAAGCATGAGATTTTTAAAAGAACAAATTATACTTTCAAAGATAGGATTTCAGAACTTTTACTGACGCATGAGCATTATACATGATGAAATCGATCATGATTTCTTCTCGTCATTTTGATCTCTTTCGAGATGGTGACCGCTCACTTCGTCGCACGACACTTCGTCGCGTTCACTTCGTCGCGATCATTTCGTCGCACGATCACTTCGTCGCATAACACTTCGTCGTACGACATTTTGTCGCAGAACATTTTTTTTCGTTCTGTTTGTCGCAGAACAATTTCTTTCGTTCTGCTCGTTGCAGAACAATTTTCTTTCGTTCTGTTCATTGCATTCCTCTTAATTATGTTTTTTAAAAACATCAAATTGATCAATTTAACTCATCTTCATTTTATGTATCATGCATAACAGAACCATCAACAAAGTGAAACGAAAAAGCAAGAAAAAAGAAAAACCAAAGAAAAAAGAAGAAAACTAATCTAAAGGGAAAAACAATCTAAAGAACTAATTTGGAGAGCGTTGGATAAGTACCAAGGTCAAAGTCAACTCGTCGTATTCCAAGAATTCCAATAGAATTCAATACTAAGGACTCCGATAAGATCTGATGCTATCCGATAGTCAGATCCATCGCGTCCTGGCAATGTTATCGTTGATCTAGTCAATGTTAAAATTCATTAACATAATGACAAATATAATTATTTTTTGCTGACTTTAACTGTCTCAGAATTACATTTGGTTAAGACCTTTCATTGATCTATTTTCCGAATTCAAGTCATACGTTTTAGAGCAATCAATTGTCTGTCCTTGTTTTACCCATATTTTAGAGTTTTTCATTTACTTTATTTTATTTTGACTAGTTATCAAAAAAAAAAACAGGACTAATTAACAGAAATACAAGAAGCAGAACGACAGAAAAAATTATTCTGCAACGAACAGAACGAAAGAAATTGTTCTGCGACAAACAGAACGAAAAAAAATGTTCTGCGGCAAAATGTCGTACGACGAAGTGTTAGGCGACGAAGTGATCGTGCGACGAAATGATCGCGACGAAGTGAACGCGACGAAGTGTCGTGCGACGAAATGTACTAGCGCCTTTCGAGATATTGTATTTCATCATCTTTCTACATCCGGATTATTTTCTTCAAATTTTTCATTTTCAAGATTTCGCCTGTAAATTTTTGACGGTGAGCGCTTCAGTAAGAACCCCTCAATCTTAACTGATAACAGAGAGTTCTTGATATTTACTGCAAACGCACGTTTAGTGCACTCTACAAATTGCAGATCGTTAAACTGAAATAATGAAATTCAATCTTTAGCAAACTCTATTTAACTTCAACAAGTTTAAAAATAAAATTGAAATTTTAATTTGTTTTAAAATTTGAATCCTAAGATTATTTTAAGTTTGAATAAATTAAATTTTACAGATTTTCAGTTTCAACTTTATGTTCACAAATGATTAAACACGGTTAACAGCGATACGAATTCTGATTTCCAGATTTGTAATATTATCAGAAGATGAAGTATTCAATTTTCTTCAGGTAGTGTGCTGATTCTTTTTATTAAACCCTCGATTTAAATATTATCCGAGAATAAAATGGTAGAAAACCTAACGTTTTGACTGTTTCTTATAATTTAAATTCTCAAAAATATTAGTACTGATACATACAAAAATCTATCCAACATAAAGATATTTACCTCCAGAATTGGCATGGCCATTGCGTCGTAACCGTGCAAAGGAATTTAATGATGGACGTTGATCTTGGTTTGGCATCGAATTTGAGGAAGAACTTTGCTTCATGTGGCCCAATTCTATAATACAAAGTGAATGGTCAAAATATATAATCCACTTCGCCATCGTCAAAAGCTGATAGCACAGTCAAGAAATTCTAATGATGAACAATGCTTGATTTCTAAAATAAATAATTTTTTCCGCCGACAGCACTATTAAAATATCATATTTATCTCAATTTCGATGCAAGATAATCTTTTTTTTTACGATAATTAACTATTTATAAACGAAAAACAATTCAAGAAGAACGGGTTTCAAGCAATAAGTGTTTTAAAAATAAGCTCAATAATTTTCATCACCGTTTCTCATAATTTAGCTCCTCTTATCTTATGTCTACACTTTTGTTTTACAGTAGTGACTTAGAAAGCTGCATAATCTACTGTTTATCTGAAAGAGAAAATCAACACACCGGTATTGCGATTCATCATATGATTTGTATCTATACTTTTCAGATATGCAGCTATTACTAACAGTAAAGCTGCAATGAAAATTCCAAGCAAAATCAGCCAAACAAACATTCCAATAGACAGGAAGTACCATTTAGTCTGCTTCTCTCTAAAATACAAAAATAGAAAAAGTACACCTTTCAAATGTGCATAATTTGATGCGAATGCACTATTCATCTTGAAATGATGAGGCACGGTCGTTGAGTAGAGAAAAATTTTATTTTATAATTCTCATCCGTAAATTATCTTGAATCTATCGGTTTTTGGTGCAGAGCTGTAAGTATTATTCTGATACGAGGTTTCGACAAAAGTGAACCTTCAAAGTTTCGGAAATTACAATCATTTGTGTTCGAAATCCTTCGATAACTCCTAAAAATATATATATCTTTCATAATTTTTGAAATTTCTGTAACTTAGTAATTATCGAGTTTTCCGAAGTACTGAAGTTCTCAGTGTTTGAAAAAAGTTTTAACTTATACTCTTATTTAATTATTTACTTTATGGACGTTTCGAAAATTTTGTCAATTAGCGTTTTCTAACATCTGAACATTTCTCTTGCATTGAAGTCTTTGCTAAAATCTAGTAGCAATGAGACTTGCATATGTGCAAAAGTTCACACCGAAAAATTGTTACATCTGATTTATTCGAAAGATCTTTAGAAGAAGTTTAGAAGTAGTTAAAATATTTTTGATAACTCATCTTCAAAGATATCTTGGTATGTCATCGCATTTACAACAGTATAGAGCTACCTCTAATCGATTTTATTACTATAGAATCGACAGAGAATTGAGCTCACTCTTAAAAATATTTCTTTATGATTAGTAATGAATGAGGTTGTTGGACATTATGTTGATGAACAAAGTATTAGGAAACCTACGTTCGATTATTGTTAGGAATAATTTTTTCGCTTAGTACTTCCATTGACGGCTTGTCGCGATTGAAAATATTTATTTGTTAGAAATTTTGGAACAAGAGTTTAAAACTTGAGATCTGAAATATATGATTCAAAATATTGAGTAGATACTGCTTAAGATTTGAGAAACGGAGCTGTATTTTGTAAAAATATTGGTGCAGATTGTGGTGAACTGATACTTGTTTTTTATATTTGACCATTGCACAGTAGAACTCTTCCGATGACTGAATACAATGGATGAGTAAATAAATCGCTAAGCCATACTGTATTTGCTAGCTCCAAACAGTCTCATCTTTTCTTCATTCTCCCTGAACATACATTAATAGAATTAATTCATAGATGCGCAAATACAATTACAACTTGTATCGGCTAATTCTTCACATATCCAATTAACGGCATGTAATG